ATTTTTATGTAAGAAAACTGCTTGGAATGGAAAAATACCAAAGTTAAAAAATAAAACTCAAGATTTCCACTGTAATGTGTAACGTAATTTTCTTCTTGTTAGAATTAATAGTAATTACAATAAAAAAGTACCGTTCAGGAACAGATACCGAAGAGAAGGTACCGACACAGATACAGAATTTTTTTGAACGGTACCCAGCCCTAGCTACGTTAGTTATGGAAGTTTTCAACACGGGACGGGGATGCGTGAGAAGCGGAGCATGCTCTATTCACACAAGGAGAGCTGTTGGTCAGGCTACTTCTAGCTGTTTTCTAAAATAGTTATTGAATCCAGTGTTTCCCCTAGGTGACTTGCCTTGGCAGAGTGCTCAGGTCTTTGTGATTTTTCTCAGGGGGTGGGGGTAAAGAGAGACACGAGAGACATGTTTGTTGTGCGACGTTCGTGTCGAGCGAGGTGGGGGGGTAAGAAGTATTAGAAAATTGGAGCGCTACTCTGCTTTTTGGCTAACGCATCTATATTGCACGCCACTAGCTTGGAGCTACATCAGTGTCGGCAGCTGTTGGGGGGAGGGATGTGGGTGAAGGACATTTCGGTAGGTGGGGCACCCTCCTTGTATAGCGGTAGAGGAAACACTGGAACCAAGTGTTAACTTATGTAGGTCAAACTAGATGTTTAACAAGCCGTTAAAATACACCAGAATGCAAAAAATAAGATCTACTTTATCAAAATTTTCTGGGGGAGGACCCCCCGACACACTCCGGCGTGTCTCCCCCCTCCCACATTACAAATGCGTCTGACGTCAATGCTTTTCAGTATCAGTACTCAGTGTCAGCAAGTACACAAAGTGAAGTACTTGTACTTGGTCTACTGTGAGGACACCCCACATGCTCAGGCTTGAGTTAAAGGTACAGCCAGGGTCTGACATCATACGTGATGATGTCACCGTTGTTTACAATCGAACGGCTCTATGAAGCAAACGGTTCGTCAACATACGGCTCCTGTCAAAGAGCCGTATGTTCCATCTCTACATTTGAATCATCTCCAATAACGTTTAATTTTCTAGCACCTCCTCCTCCATGTTTAAGGGTTGCCCAAGTCAGGGAAATATTTTGGTTCTTGCAAAACAACAATTATCGTAAATAAACACTAAGAAATGAAACATCGCCTTCTGGGCCGAAGTTTTAAACAAAGAACACGATCAGTTAGTACTCATGGTGGGGGTGATGCTCAGCTACTGCCGCACCAAACTGGAGCGTAACGTCCGTAAAACGAACAGCCACTTGTGTTGGCAACGTTTGACTAGATGCAGCAGCCATCTTGGATCTGGTTGGTCCACAGTCTAATCAGTTGTAGATGTTCATGAAATGATGACCTGACGGTTTCAATAAAATCCAACCAGTGGGTCACTAGATATTTTGCTAACAGACAAATCACATTTGATCACTAGCCTTCATGTTATAAAAAATAAAGTGATCTTACCTGGGAAAGTTGGGGGTCCCTTGTTTGAGGAGTTGGGAGTAAAACAGGAAAGTTTGGGGTTCGTCACGCAGCGCACGTGACTTGGTCCATTCGTGTCTCTAGCTGGAAGGCGTCCGGTCGGTCCTGAGGGTTGACTGCCAGCATGTCCAGGAGGAGCTTCTTCACCTCCTCAGACATGGAGCTCCTGGCCTTCTGGGGGATGTGGAGAACCATCTTGGGGTTCTCCAGCAGAGCTTCTCCGACAGGTACGATCTCTGTGCCCTGGCGGACGTACGTACCCAGCAGCTCCCGCTTGGACTCGGCGTCGATGAAGGTGATCCGCTCGATCATGGCCCAGAAAATGATGCCTAGAGCGAAGATGTCGGCCTTCGCCGTGTAGTGGCCCTCCCACACCTCGGGGGCCATGTAGAAGTCCGACCCACAAGCAGACGACAGCCAGAACTTGTTTATGTTGACGACGCCGTTCTGGTTGCTCCCCCTGCCGGCTGCGGGGTGTTCCTCACTGGTTTTAGAGTTCAGGCCGGCACAGACCTTACTGAGGCCGAAGTCCGCCACTTTCAGAACCGGAGAACCAGATTTCTGGGAGATGAGGATGTTGTCTGGTTTCAGGTCGCGGTGGACGATGTTGTTCTTGTGCAGGAAGGCGATGGCGCTCGTCAGCTGGCGCATGAAGTTCTTGTTGGTCTGTGGGTCGGGCCGCCGGGACAGGATGTACTGGTTGAGATCGCCGCCTTCGCAGAACTCCATGACGAACCAGAGGTAACACGGCTCCTCGGGGTAACCAAGGATACGCTCACCTGATGGCAAAAGACAAGAGTCGGACTTGAGTCCATCAGCAGCCTAGAACCAAGACGTGACCTGCACCAGAACCAGTGGTCTAGATCAG